TGCCACAAGAAGGCCCCGCAGGGCTCCGAGTCCGACTTCAGCGCAGTCGACTGGAAGTTCTTCATGCCAGTGCGCTTAGAACGTCCATCGCTACATGCAGAGCCCCAAGCAGCAGCATCAGCAGCAGCAGCAGCAGCAGCAGCAGCAGCAGCCGCGGCAGGCACGGACGCACTGGAGTTTGCCAAGCGGTCGCGGGCAGCCGCGTTCGAAAACGCGGATGTCGCCAAGGACGAGAGCACTCGCCAGACCAGCGAGGCAGCACTGGTCGCGGACGCCAAGGCGCCCCACGACGCGGCCCAGAAGGAGAGCATCACCAGCTTGAAGGACAGGAGGACCAGCATCGAGTCGCTAGCGCTGCGCGAGAGGACGGGGGCGACCGACTCACGCCGGAGGCGTGCATCCTCAGGCAGGCAGTGCGCGGACGGGTTGGCAAAGCGAAACGGCTCTTCGCATATGGACTAAGTCATGGGCGGCTCCAACTCAAGCACAACCCCGTCTATACGGCGGCCCAGAAGAAGACCGAGGAGGAGCGACAACTGGACGAGAGTACTTACATCATCCGCATCAAGGAAAGCGACCTCGCCCTCTCCGCAACAGGCAGCGCTCGCATCGAGCTGTCGCAGATCAACGGCGGGAGCGACCAGCGACGTCGAGGAGGAGATCGGCGAGGGCGACTGTCTTGTATTATTGTTCCCTACCTAGGCTCTGCCTAGAAGGGTTCTTACTCGCTTGGCTTCAACGGGCCGGGCAGAACAAACCGCCCAGGGCGGTTCCCCCAGCCCCCTGGGGGCCAAGCAAAAGCAACAGCAAAGGTAAAAGCAAACGCGCGGTTCCCCCAGTTGCGCCCCCTCGGTGCCAAGCAAAAGCAAGGGCAAAAGTGAAGGCAAAAACGAAGGCGAAGCAACATCATAGCACAGCATAGCATAGCATAACACAGCATAGCATAGCATAGCGCAGCATAGCATAACGCAGCATACCATAGCATAACCTAGCCTAGCCTAGCCTAGCCTAGCCCAGCATATCATTGCGCAGCATAGCATAGCATAGCAAATTATAGCATAACATAGCAGAGCAGAGCAGAGCATAACATAACATAGCGCAGCACAGCATCCAAAGGCAATGCAAAACAATAGCAAGAACCATGCGAAAGTGTATATGTAGATGTAGATGTAGGTGTATATGTGGATGTAGGTGTAGATGTAGATGTAGATGTATATGTAGATGTAGATGTAGAGGTATGTGTGTATGTAGGTGTAGATGTATATGTAGATGTGAGTCTCGCTGTTGATGTAGATGGAGATGTATTTGCAGGTGTAGATGTAGATGTAGTTGTAGGTGTAGATGTAGATGTAGGTCTAGATGTAGATGTAGGTCTAGATGTAGATGTAGGTGTACATATAGATGTAGATGTAAAGAACTCCCCCGTGCCCCGTTCTCATCTCCGTGCCTGATTGCTTTTGCTGCTGTCTCGGCGACTTGCTGCCTGCTTCTGCTGCTGCTTCACTTACGGCGTGGCGTCGGCGGTTCTGGCGCTACTACTGTTATTATCATTATTACTATGACTACTACTACTACTACTACTACTACTACTACTACTACTACTACTACTACTACTACTACTACTACTACTACTACTACTACTACGACTACTACGACTACTACTACGACTACTACTACTACTACTACTACTACTACTACTACTACTACTACTACTACTACTACCGCTACTGCTACAACTACGACGATGAGGAGAAAGAGGAGGACGGCGTTTACCGCTCCTACTAATGTTGCTTTCCTAGAGGCTCCAACTCCCAGGTAGGGTCGCACTGGGATAATTTGCCCTTCTGTCGCGGCCATGGGCATCGCCGCGGCATGTCCCGCACTAGCGCAGTACAAGACGACGGCCGAGTACACCGACAAGATGGAGTTGGCCACGTTCAGGGCGAAGGACAATGAGCTCCAGGCTTCAATTACGAGAGGGCAAGGGAGATCTAGATGAAAAAAACCAGCGAGAAGGCGAGCGAGATCGAGAAGGCGATGGCGTTCGCCGCGTCTGACGAGCTGGCAAGCAGTTCCAACGAGGAGTATACGGCGCGGCCGGTGGGGGCACAAGGCATGGTGACATCCAGGCCCTACGGAGACGCAACGAGGTTCCAGCATCTGACCTAAGGATTTCAGCGAGCGGCCGAAGTCACCACCGCGCAGGTGATCAAGCAGGCAAAGATTACCAAGTGAGCAGCGCAGCCAATCCGTTAATTTGTCGAGTTTTGTACCTCGTTACCTCTTATGCCGCAGCCGTTTCTTGTGCTTTGACGGATGCGATATGTATATGATGTACATATGTGTTTCTGCCGAACTGTGTAGACGAGGGCGGGGAAGTTTAGCATATCCTTTTCTTCCGTAGCAACGTTGGCCTAACATGGGCTTTGAGTTATTGCAGTCGCGTTGTGAGAAACATATGACGAGATTTCGTTTATTAGTGTTGCTTCTCACTGCCGTCAAACATTATGATGGCGTTGGTTTATTCATAAACATATTCAGCATCATATTCAACATCATCAGTATCACAAACATCACGTTGATCACCATCAACAACACCACTATAACCATCATTACCACCATCATCACCAGCATCCTCTTTATCCGCTTGATTCCACCATCATCACCACTACCATCAGCACCATCACCATCGCAATCAGGGATCCCCCCCGCAGCATTAACGATGGTCGCCCCGCGGGAGTAATTTTATTATCGGGATTGTTGGGGGCACCAATAGGTCAATCAGCCCGCGGAAAAACATGTTCCCATTGTTGGCGGGAGAAGTGTAGAAACAATCGTTGTGGTTGGGCTCAACGGGGAACGCATCGACCCCCAATCGTTCATTCATCGCCGATAGAGGCCCAATAGCCCACCCCGCCCAAGAGCGCTCGGATTCGCTATCGGCAGCTTGTCGCCGATCCATCGGCGAGGTGTTGCCGACTCCAGGTCGATGTTTCCAACCCTGCGCCGGTCCCCCCACTATCGCTTGCCCTCAGGATCACTTCCAGGATTTACGGCCCCGATGACGGGGGGCACGCCAGAGAGGGCGACGCTGGGCTGGAGGGCGAGGCGGCCGCCCTGGAGCTCGCGGCCGCGCTCGCGGGCCTCCAGGGCCTGCGCGGCGCGGACCTGCTGGTGTGCACGCACCCCGTGGTCCTGTGCCTGCTCGCCTTCCGGGTCAGCTGGGGACCTCAGGGGCAATAGCGAGGGTGGGGATCGGCTCAGAGGAGGGACGAATCGGCCCCCAATCGCTCACTGATCGCCGAAAAGGGCCCAATAGCCCACCCACGCTCAGGCACGTGAGGATTCGCTATCGGGGACCCATCGCTGATCTATCGGCGATGTATCGCCGATTCCAGGTCGATGTCCCCCCCGTCGAGCTTGTCCTGCGCGTAAGAGCGCTTTTTCGCCAGAGTGACAATTTTGGTGCGGGCAGTCAGGGGTCCCGCTGGACTTGGCTTGCGCGCGTGGGTTCCGTGAATTCGGTTTCCCCCGCAGCCCCCTAAGGCCGCGCACCACAGGTCACTCTTGCCTGGGGTCCGTCCTGCGTGCAGCCGACATCCCTTCCCCCGCAGGACCGCGCGCCCCATCCCGCGAGCGGGGGGAGCCGCAGCGGGGGCCGCCCGCGGCGCCGATGCTGGTGCACGTGGCCTCCACGCTGCTGTACGGGGCTCCGGGCTGCAGCGTCTGCTCGGGCCGCCTGCGGCGGTACGGGACCCCTGCGGCCTCGGAGTACCTGCGGGCCGCCCGCGGCCTGCTCTCGGGCGGTGCGCCCCTGCTGGCGCTGGCCGAGGGCGCGGTGCTCTCGGCGCAGCTGCTGCACCAGATCGGGGTGCCCGTGCCGTCGGTGCCGCCGCTCGCCCTCTACCTGGACGGGACCTCCTACCTGCGGGACTCCAGGCCTCCCAGATTCGAGGGGCAAAACGGCGCAAGCATAAGCCTCGGGGCGCGCGGATCTCTTGGATCCGCGCTGGAGCCCTCTGGCGGCGCCTCCAGCGCCGCCCTTGGCGCGTTCCGCGCGCCTGGCGCGGATTCGAGAAATCCGACCGGAGCTCAGGAAGTTTATGCCACTGCAGTGTTTGAATGTTCTACAGACTCTGCAGACGAGTTGAGGGCGGAGGGGCAGGGTCGAGGCCTCCCAGGCTCAGCAGAATCAGAGGAGGGCTGGTTGAAATAACTGTCATTCATTGGCCTTCGGGGGGGGCCTTCCCATCGCGGCTGGACGCAGCTCGGACAACTAGTGCGGCCCCAGGATCCCAGGAGGTGTCCGGGGATCGATTCTGAGCTGCCGTTGTCTCAACTCGCCCAGCTCCGAGTCCAGGCCTCCCAGAAGAGTTCGAGCCGGCGGTGTCGGGGGATCGCGCCGCACCACGCCGAAGTCGCCGATGCATCGCGGACGTCGCCGATGCATCGTCGGTGCACCGGCGATGCTGCGCGATCCTCCGACCTCATCTGCTCGGACCCCATCTGCGAGGCCTCCAGGGGCGGAGGGCGAACGGCGCCCGCGGGCAAGCGGAGGACGGTCCTCGTGACGCGCGCGCGGCTGTTCGCGCACCCCGCGGGCTTCTTCCTCCGCTGCATGCTGGAGGAGCTGGCGGTCGTGAACGGGCCGCTCGCGGACGCGTCCCGCGGGCACTTCTGGTTCGCGGGGGCCGCCGAGGACGCGTGGAGGAGCTGGGAGGAGATGACAACCTGCCTGGCGGCCTTCTTCATCCCGGAGAAGGGAGGACGGCGTGAACATCCGCGTGTGGAGCTGCGCGCGGATTTCCTGGATCGGCGTTGGGCCCCCCTGGCGGCGCCCCCAGCGCCGCCCTTGGCGCGCTCCGCGCTCCTGGGAGAGGGGCCGAGCGCCGATCCGAGAAATCTGCGCGGAAGTCTTAGAGTTGCTGTGTGTTGCCGTCGTTTCTTCTTCTGCCATCCCCTCGGACATCCACCAGCGGACCTTCATCGAGCTCTACCGCATGAGCGTCCCGACATTCATGCCCGATGCGGCGTGGATGCTCCGCCTGCCGCTGCTTGCGCCCTTCGGAGTCTTCGCCTACGACGGCTCGCTGACGCCCGCGGAGCTCGGCGACGCTGGCGTTCCTCGCGGGCCACCGGTAGCTTTTGACCCAGAGGAGACCGGCGCCGTCCGGGCTTTCTTCCACTGGCGCCTCTGACCGTCGTCGTCGACGACGTCGCTTCGGAGGCTCATGGGCGTTTCTGGAGCTCCTCGTCGCCACGGCTGGACGCAGCTCGATAGCCTGACCAGGATGGACGGACCCCAGGAGGGGCCGTGAGCCTGTCATGAGCGGATGTTGGCCCCGTCGTTGCAGTCGTCATCGTCGGGCGTCGTCGTCGTTCCCTCCCACCTCTCTTGATGGAGGAGGAGACTGTAACATGTAGCAGGGAGGGAGGGAGGGAGCGGAATAGAGGGATGAGGGATGAGGGATAGGAGGACGGTTTGTGAGTATGCCGCAGTCTGTGTGGTGGACCCGCCACGGCCGTCAGCGCGGAGTTCAGCGACACCCACTGCCCCGAGCGTGACCCCAGCAATGTGAGCCTCGAGGAGAACGGCCTCGCGAGTTATTGTTTCACCTTGGGCGACATGTTGAAACTCGACCCCAGTTACAGCTCATAGGTGGGTACCGATTGGCAGCGGCTACCAAAGATCCCGCGACCACCAAAGATCCCGAGACCTCGAGAAGTACTGGTTTAACATGCGTTTAGGCTTGGAGAGAAAGCCTCTCACAGACATGACGGGGGTTCCTGGTATATCTGGAAAGCTGCGAAGCGCGCCCGCGTCTGGCCCTGGGAGAGTTCATTTGCAGCAAGGAGGAGCATGATTCTCTTTTCTACAAGAGTAATAGGATCTAGCTCCCTCCCCGGACCACCTTTTTCGCATTGCAGTTTACATATGATGTTGCCCCATCGTCCATCTTAAATATGAATCCAGATCATCCCAGGCAGGCCGTTATCGCCCCCCTTCATCCTCTGCAAGAGATGATATGCGCGCTCACCCATGTATCAAACATCATCAGTTTCCAAGTCTCCCTTCCAACAAATGGGACGAAGTGCACGAGCGCGTCGTCGCGCGCGCATGCCGAAATCCTTGCAAAGTTCCACGTTTGGTACGGAATTCGATATCGAGCGTCCCGAAAACATATGAATACATCACGTTTCGCAACAAAGATGTTTAAAAAAGCTTGCGCTCGCGCTATTGCGAGTTCTGGAGAAAACCATAGGGCACTCTCGCGCTCGCATCTCGGATGCGCAAGAACGCCCTTGCGCGCGTGCTCTCGCAAGAACCCCTTGCAGAAAATGTGATTAAGTGCACGCGCGCGTCGTCGCGCGCGCATGCCGGAATCCTTCACAAACCTGAGGTGTTATGAGGTTTTCAACGTTGAGTGTTCCGAAATCATATGTCCAAGAAGAAACTTGCGTTCGTGGTCTCGCAAATTCGGATCAACACCATAGGTTTTCAATATGTTCATACAATTCTGCCAAACAGGCCTCTTGCGCCGCATGTCGAAATCATTCGAACGCCCTTGCGCGCGTGCTGGTAGGGGGGGGTCACGATCCGTGTCGAATCATACCACGCGGGCCACTCGCGCGCCGGCCGCGCGCGCATGTCGAACTCCTGCCAAAGCCTGTATCACCGACGCGAAGACGCAAGCATCGTCGTCGGCGTGATCAGCATCGGCGCCGTCACTGGCCGTGCCGTCGTCGCTGCCACCATCGTTACCAGCATCGCTACTATCATCATCGCGACTACCGTTGTCGGCCTTGCCATGATAGAGCGCCCGCCCAAGCCGCCGACTCGCACTAAAGTGCCCGGTGGGAACTGCCCAGCGGTCAGCGCCACCGCGGCCGCATCGGTCGCGCCAAATTAGCTGGCCGCTTTGCGCGCGAGCATGCGCGCTAGCGCGGCCGCGCCGATGCACCAGCCAGCGCCGAGGAGTCATCGCAATCGCCGCCGCAAGGGGCTTTCGAGCCAAGTTGCGAGCGGGTGGGTGGGACGATTGCGCGAACAGTGGAGCTAACAACTACAAGTTCGGCAGGGTGAAATACAAGCATAACCGCATCAAGCCTTCAAGAAATCCCCCCCCACCACACCCCTCATCCGGTGAAAGTATAACGTATCCGGCACCCTGGAAGCGTTACCTCGGCACCGGAGGAGCCCGCAGAGAGCGCTCGGAGCCAAGGTAAGCCTTGTTGAGCCCTGCTAGCTCCCGCTAAGCCATGTTAAACAATGATAAGCCAGGCTCGCCCCCTGCTAAGCCCATGCCAAGCCCTGCTAGCCTCTGCTGAGCGCCACTGAGCGCTGCTCAGCCCTGCTATCCACTGCTGATATCCTTCGCATGTCCTCAGCATTCCCAAGGACATGCGAGGGGCGCTTAGCATCTCCTAGGAGTCTCGGATCCTTGGGATTCCCGAGACAACCCTTTTGCTGGTCCGTGAAATGTTTTAGGACATGCACAGCATATCCAAAGGCATCCCCAAGGATTTCTTCTTGCGCGGCGCGCGACGCGCCACGGAATTTTGTTTTTTGATTTGCGCGAGGTGCTAAAGATATCGCTTTGCGAAAACGACTCCCGGAAGTATCAACTCTTGATGCGGTGTTAACGGTAACCCCGGGGGGGTTCTTAAAGGTTTGCCAGGGTTAATCTGGAGGGCACAGTCAACCCCGCCCTGTCGAAGGCACGCGTATCCGTCCAAGCTCGCGGTGAGAAAACAGCCTCAAGGGAATTTGTCTTACTCTTCGTTTCCCTACGCACGGCGAACAGACTCAGAAACGACCAGCACTGCCGTGCAGCACGCCCTCAACTTGCTGGAGCAGAACCACGCGGCGGGCAACGAAATTCATTACAAGCGCGAACAGGAAGAGCTGTCGCGAATGACTTACTCCAATGTTGGGACGGGCCTAGGTCGGTTGTGTTGGGCAGCGGTGTCGTGAGTTCGAGAGTCCTTACCGACGCACGACCATCTTCACGAGTCGGCGGCGAGACCGGGGGAAATGCAGAGAGGGCGGCCTTCTCAAAAGGCTCGGAAGGCCTCCGGTCTTCTGAGAAGTGTTCCAGGCCTTCCTCGATTACAGAAACGGTTTCCGAGAAGACCGGATGGCTTCTAAGAAGCCCTGCCGCATTCTGAGAAGGCATGCCCCCTCTCATTTCCCCCTTGTGCGCGCCGCCGAACGAGGCCACAGTCGGTGCCCAGTCTTTCCTCTGCCAGAGGTTTGAAGCGAGACGCGGGCCGCGCTTTTGCGATTGCCCGTCCGGGCCGCGCACGCGTGCGACACTCACCTTGAGGCAGCGAGCAAGGCAGGCGCTCGCGACGTCTCTGCGGAGAAGCGTCTTGGCATCGAAGTAGACCCCATAATTGGAATGCAAATGAACGGCCGCCACCAACGTCGAAGAGGAACAGGAAGCTGACGACAATGAAGTAGGCGCTCGGACCAGGTTTGCCTTTCGGCCAGCAGTGCTCACGTTGATGAGTGCCCAAACGGACACAGGCAGATCACACCGGTAGGGTCGGACTGGCAGGCGTGCGTGCGAGCAGGCAGGCAGACGAAGACAGCGACTTTCATGAGGAGAGCGCTCCGCCTTCCCATGCACAGGTACCATTACTCTGACTACGCCCACCTCCCCTGGGTCGAGCACTGCTCGTCGATACCAGATTTCCTGCGTCGTCTTGTGGAAGCGGATCTGCCAGGTGGAGCGGATGGATGAGGAAGAAAAGGTGGACACGAGGAGAGGGAGTTGCAGAGGTGAGGAGAGGGAGTGGGAGGCACGGGCCAGTCTATGGAGTGGGGAAAATGGCAGTGGCAATGGAAGGGCACCGCTGGGTCCAGGGTCCTCCCCTCTCACCTGGCCTTTTCGCTCCCCGTCCTCCCTCCTCGTCTGTCCCTCATCTCGCTCACCTCCCCTTTCTTCCTCTCCAGCTCCCTTCGGTTGTTGGACGGCTCATGTGCTTCACTTGAGCATCTGGGGGAAGATGTTGCTTCCCTCCCTCCAATTAGGTACAGGGGGGTGGAGGATGATACGGCATGATCTTCACAATGCTTCCGTCTCGTCGGTTCCACCAAGGCATCGTAGTTCCGAATTGGACCGTCAGCTGCGAACCGACGGACGTAGCCGCGATGCATCGAGATTTTGTGGTCGCATCTTCTCTCCCTAAGCGACTTGAGTCGTGTTGTTCACACGGCTGGGGCGCATGGATGGTTCCGCATGCATAGCACCCCGCAGTTGCGGATAAGAGTGAGGGGGCGGCGGGGACGTCGGCAGTCTGCGAGGCTCTGAAGAAGCCCGCCGCAGGCGCAAAACTTTTGAAACTATACAATGAGCCCGCCGCAGGCGCCGATTTGTTTGTTGAAACAATGTGGGTGGGTCGCGGGTGGATCGCGGGCCGGGTCGCGGGTGGCTCGCGGGTGGCTCGCGGGTGGCTCGCGGATGGGCCGCGGGTGGGTCGCGGGTGGGGCGCGAGTTGGATCGCGGGTGGGTCGCGGGTAGGTCGCGGGGTGGGTCGCGGGTGGGTCGCGGGTGGGTCGCGGGAGGGTCGCGGGTGGGACGACGACAACAAACAACAACAACAACAACAACAACAACAACAACAACAACAACAATTACTAGCACGTGGGGACACTCCGTTCTCACCAGTGCCAGGGTTTTCATAGGAGGCGGGCAATACCCCCACTTTGTGGGGGGGCGGTTCAAGCTCTACCAAATTTCCAAACGACTCTTCGCCACCACCCACACCCAGCTTCCCGCCCTATGACGTTCGGACACTTCACTTCGTGGCATGCGGACGACCGTGGCTACTATTCAGGGCCCCGCGGCCGACGACGACGGCGTGCGCGCGCGAAGAAAAAACGAATGTGTCCCGCATGGTATTATTTGACAGGGATGATGGCCCTGGCAGGTGCGCAACCGTTGTTGCAGAAGTTCGAAAAAGTTGCTCGCAAAAGCCCGTTTGACAGAAATGTTTAAAAAGTGTTGGGTTTCCTACGAATCCGCAAGAGCGCGCGGGATGAGATTTTGACAATTTTTTGTTGAAAAACCATTGGTTTTTTGATGTTTTTATGTTAAAATCGCTGCGAACACTAAGGTTTTGGAAGGATTTCGTCTTGCGCGCGCGAATGTCCACTTTACCTTATTTTTTGCAAGGGATTCT